ACATCGGTCCACGGTAAAACTACAGTGACGGCAATGCTCTGTTACACGTCAGATGGGCACAAGCTTTCCCCGTACCTCATATATAAATGGAAGACGCTCCCGAAAGGAGTCGTTTTTTCGAGTGGTGTGATCGTGCGGGCCAACGAGAATAATGGGTGCGCGTTGCAATCGATGTCTTTCTTCTTTTTTTTCGTCGTGGAAACCAGGTGCACGTTACAATCGCGGGTGCGGTAGAATCGAGTAAATACGGTATGTAAACAAAAATTAATTGACCAACCTGGAAATGCTACTACACTCGGAGTTTCCTGAAATTAACTAGAGGGGACAATGGCACTGCGATCATTCAGTGACCATGGAAACTATGGGTATGACATGGATTTGCCCAGTGTTTGTGCTTGCGGGTGGCGAACGCACTAGTGGCTTCGTTTATTGCGGTGTTTTGGTTTTGTTTCGAAGGAAAGAACAAACCGTTTTCACTTCGTGACTCGATTTAAAGTGGTAAGCCTAAAATATTAAAGTGGTGAAGCGTAACTGCCGAACATTTGCCGTTTGTTGTTTCGTGAAAAAGCAGCTTCAATCCATGCCAGAATTAAGGTAAAGTACGAGGACTAGGCAAATCCAAGTCATACCCATAATTCTCATGCTCGCTGAAGCGCTATGAGTTGTAGCTCCCATGGACTCTAGCGCCAGAGTTCCCTCTAGTGTATACTATTCAGGAAACTCTATGACTACACCCACTGAGCATTGGTCACATACCGTATTTACTCGATTCTACTGCGCCCTCGATTGTAAAGCGCACCCGGTTTCCACGCCGAAAAAAAAAAAAGTAACACATCGATTGCAACGCGCACCCATTTTTCTTGTTGGCCCGCACGATCACACCACTCGGGAAAACGACTCCTTTCGAGAGCGTCTTCCGTTGAAATATGAGGTACGGGGGAAGCTTGTGCCTATCTGACGTGCAACTGAGCATTGCCGTCACTGTAGTTTTACCGTGGACCGATGTCAGCACGCGAAGTTGCTTCGCCCCCTTTTTCTCGACGGTTGTGGTGCCAGGCATGTCGAAGTAAAGTGGTGTCTGGTCGGCATTCCCGATTTGCCCAAGCAGGTAGCCGTTGTTGTGCCGCAAGTTTAGGACGAACCTCTGAAAACTGTGAAACTTTTCATCGTACTCCTTCGGAAACTTTTCGCATATGCCCGTTCGCCTTTGGAGGGAAAAGCCTTTCCTCTTCATAAAGTTAGTTAGCCTACACCTGCTCGCTTTAAACTGGCTCCGCATTAGCCCTTTTTCTAAGGCTAACTGCATAGCCTGCACTTGGAGCAGTTCTGTCGTCACAGGCCGCTGTGCCGCTCACTGCTCAATCACATATTCGCCAAGCAGCTCTTCAGTTTGCGGAAACCGACCCTGCTGTGGTCCAATGAAGCCTTTGCGTGAATCTTTGCTGTCGACAATCTTCTGCTTTTGTTTCCGCCAGTCCCGCACGCACGTTTCGGGAATTCCGAACAATCGCGATGCGGCCCGATTTCCGTCCGTTTCGGCACACGCGATGACTTTTCCATTAAAAGTGGCATCGTGGTGCACTCGTCGAGTTTTTCGAGTCGGCCCTTCCATGCCGTCGATGCTAATGCACTACAAGATGACGAACTCCTCAGCACACGTACGAAGTGCCGCACATGGGGAACACATAGGCAGAAATGGCCGACGCACCATGCCGACGCACGTAGGGGGCGGCCATTTTGGAAATGCCGATGGCAATAGAATGACCGTATTCATTTTTTTTTACGTACTCGATTGTAACGCACATGCGATTTATGAACTCGCTTAACCGGAAAAAATGTGCGCATTAGATTCGAGTAATTACGGTAGTCACACCATGAGACAGGTGTGCATTTGTACATGTGTGTGTGTTCCTTCTTGACCCCATCTGAAGTAAGTTTCTGAGCTAAACACTATAAGAATAGGTCGCACTGACAAGGCCGGCAGTCTACGATTGCTTTGTTCATTAAATGGCGAACTTCAGGCATAATATTGGCAGACCGATTGCAATGTAATCAAAAGGGCAGAATATTTATTTGAAGAATTACAAGCATAGAATGCACCTGCTAAACATGCTGCAATCAATCTTGTATTTGCATGGCACTTGAACATTACAATAAAAAGCACTCAAGAAAGCTAGTTTCAGGACAATTAAAACTATGATTATCATAATGTAAAATAAGAAATAAAATAAAATGCTGCAATGACCTTTTTGAGCAGCTTCTCAGCGATAACAATGAAGTTTTTTTTTTCATCACTGCAGCATGTTACACTGAAATACTAATCACTACAGCCACTACTTATAAGCATCTTACTTCACTAGAGAATGGTACAATTTTAATATTGATATTGCCAGTGTAGAGCTTACATACTTCTAGAAACACTGCAACAGCTCATAACAAAAGCAAACAAATGTGGATTACGAGATTTTCTTTTGCACACATCTGGTTTTTACTTTAAGTTTAACAATACAGCAAAATATAATCTGATTTCACTGGACGAATGGCTCACCCTGGACATTTGTTAACCAAAATTCACCCTAATGACCTGGTACAAATCTTCCGTTTTTGTAGAAGTGCTAGAAATGTATGAAGATGATGATATATGGTGTTAATTGGTGCAAGGGACATATGATGGCCAAAGAGCACCATGAACATTAACAAAAATAAGAGCAATGGTCTGTCATTGAATCAGTATGAACAGCATGTGAACAATCATGATGTAACGCAGCTGTAAAGGGGCTTGAATTCTACGCCCTAAGGCGGGTTAAAACTTAAAAGTACTAGTAAAATCATGGAGGTGACGTGAAACGTGTGAAGCTGGAATAAATGACAGTGTTGGTGGTGAGAGTTGCCGTAGCCACGACCTCTACAGAGGTCGAGCTAGGGATAATCTTCGAATATGGTGTGAAAATCATGTACATCTTTTAAAAACATGAACACTGATCGGGAATCAAAACTGGACCATCTCCCACTTAAAGATAACCATGTGTAGATGTGAAGCAGCAGGTGCTAACGCTTACACTGGCGGCAACGTTGACGCTAACGCTCATCAAGCAAAAGCCAAGTAAAGACGCCCTTGACTGAATTCCGAAAGCACGATCTAGTGCCTACATATACGGGGTGACCAGTGAACTGTTGTGCAGAACGCATAGTCAGTTTTTTACTAGCAGACAGCCTTGTGAGGGGAGAGGAGAGACAGTTTTGCGCATGTCACACACGGCGAGCAGCAACAGGCTAGGGAGAGAGTGACATCAACGAGCGCGCACTGCGAGGAAAGGCGTGACCTACATGGCCCTGCCCCAACATCTGTGGCCAGGGGAGCACGGTGCAGACGAAGGGACAGCGTTACACAGGCTAGTCAAAAAGCTACTTCACATCTAAAAGTGCATCCCTACCAATGAGCATGACAGGATGTAGTGGAAGCTGGTGTCGGTAGGGCAATAAAAAGTGCCTTTTTCGTAGAGCATCTAAATCACTACACTGGACGAGAATGTGGAGAACCATAAGTGGATCTCCACGTCGCTTACAGATGGGTTGTTCACTGCCAGACAAAAGGTGTGAGTGTGTAGAGTGTGTGTGTGTCTCCTATCTGTAGCGTTGTAAGTGCACTTGTGTGTAGCATGATCTGCATACTGGTGGCCAGTTTTCAAGCATCAGTTTAATAACGTGTAGTTTGTTCTCTGTTTTCCTATGCTATAGACACTGCCAGCACACCCTGAGCCTCCGTTGTAGGACAGTTTTCATGTCAAGTTCAGGGACGGCCATGGATGTACTGGCGGGTGCGTGGTCATGTGCAGATGCATCTAGCTGATTGATTGATATGTGGGGTTTAACGTCCCAAAACCACTATATGATTATGAGAGACGCCGTAGTGGAGGGCTCCGGAAATTTAGACCACCTGGGGTTCTTTAACGTGCACCCAAATCTGAGCACACAGATGCATCTAGCTGGTCTGCCACCAAGTTTCCAGCGATCTCGCGGTGCCCTGGCACCCAGCACAGAACAACATGTCATTTGAAGACATAGATTGTGCATAAAAGAGAGTAAAGTGACACAAAAACAGGATTTTTACGCTTTTTGAGTGTTTTCAGAGCTGTTACTACGCTCAGTGAATCTGTGTATATCACTGCACATTGTAGTTGCAGTTCCTTAATATGCTTGACGGCCACAGATACCGCGTGAGCTTCTGCGATGAAGATGCTTGTTTCGGAGTGCAGAATACCGAAATCGGAAAAGGGTGGGCCAACAGCTGCATACGACACACCAGTACGAGACTTTAACGCGTCTGTATAGAATTCTGGGCATGTGTACTTGTGTTGGAGTTCGAGGAAGTGCATGCGGATATGTGTAGTAGGTACCTGTTTAGTTATTTCAAAGAAATATATGTCACAGTCTATAACCTGCCACTGCCACGGTGGCGGATAAGCTGCGGGAGCCATTAAACGGTGTTCTTGAAGTGGCACAACGGTTTCCTCACGGAGGCTCCTTATACGGAGTGAGTAGGGTTGTCTCAGCGAAGAACGGTTGTGGAACAAGGTAGAATTGGACAGATTATTAATTGTGGTGTGAGTGGAATGTTCCTCATCTGCGTTCACCCTGAGATAATATGTAAGACATATAATATCTCTGCAAATGGAGGGACCATTCATTTTATTCCGCGTACAGGCTTTGCTTTCTACAGGACTAGTACGAAAAGTACCCGTAGAAAGGCGGATGCCTACATGGTGGACAGGGTCGAGCATCTTTAAAGCAGATGGTGTCGCAGACTGGTAGGTTATAGCACCGTAATCTAGGCACATGCACACAAGACTTCTAAACAAATTCATCAGGCTGCTAGAAATGCGTAACTACAGCGTATATGAACCCGAACTTGTCTTCACAAGTTGATTGAAAATGTCCATTAATTCATAGCAATGACCCTTGACACCCTAGCCTTCACATATGTAATCAAATGCACCCACCTTTTCATAAAATCCATCCTTTTTCCCATATTCATCACTTGCATCAAGTACATACAATGGAAGCACGTGCAGCTGCTCATCATCACCCTTCTCAAAACCACGGTGTTTTGTCAATGTAACCACCTGAAAAACACACACGCACATTTAACCAAATTTATGCACTGTGCTCACAGTGGGAAACAAAATGTACCTAGTAGGGATTTACCTGACAGCCATTAGAAAGGCCTCCTTTTATGGCAATCCCCCCCCCCCTCCCTCCCTCCGTTCTCTTAATGGAGCGCTGACATCAAATTTACTCATGCCAAGATTTTTGCGTCAGCGAGTAGCTATAGACGCCGTTGCAATGATTCACGACCTAAAACACAACTGAGGGATGAATAACTATCGCTTTTATTGATTTATATCACTGGTATCTAAGACTATTCAAAACGGCCGGCAATCCCGCCATTTTTAGCACTGGGAGCCCCAGCAGTGGCGCTACCTCGCGGTCACCTCGAGATCACGCCACAGCTGACCACTTCTTCACAGAAAAGAATGACGTCAGGCTTAGCTGCTCCGCAAACATTTCCTCTGCTAGGTGGACACATTCAGTCATGCCTTATCACCTGCATTGCTATCGTCCCCATACAAAGTGTCGACTCGGGTTCAATACGATAGTATGGAACTTGGAATCCCCACAATTCGCAACATTGCGAATCATTTTTGCTTCGATCGACCTTTTGCAGAACAGTAATTCTGAAACGGACGCCGTTACAAGCAGCGCTGCAGAGGTGCCCGAGGATGCACGCTTCAGCCAACATTTCTAGTTCTAAAAACGTTGGCTTCAGCCATGTTCGCTTGAGTGTTTCAGTTAGCTATATTGCTGTGTTTCTTCTTGCAAAGCATTCAGGCAGAGGGGTCAATGCAATATAGATATCACGAATGAGCATCAGCGGAGAAATAGAACAAGTTGACTGCATGCCAGTTTTTTTTTTGCACATCTACATGGCCCCACTTATCCAGCCTCTCGCGGTACAGATGAACTAAAATTCAACGATAACTGCATGTTACTTGTTAGCGATGATATCTGACTGTATGTATGCTGTTCCACTTTTGATAGCTTGTGGTCGTGTTGATGTGTAACACATACGTGATATGAAAAGACACCTTCATTGCACTTTTTCCGTGCTTGGAACTAGACGACTGCAACTCACCTGCAACTCACAACGATTCCCCGAAATGCTGACCTACAAGCACACGTTTAATCATGCTCTTTTCTTTCGCCGTTCATTTAAAGGTGGTTTTCATCTTCATAATTTCATGAAATCATTCAAACCGGTGTGACAAAGATCAGATGCGACAAGCGAGTGTGTTTCTGCGCTTCAGCGCCAGTCGGTGTCAATATAAGAACACTCAGATCGTACACGTCATCGCTACTAGGGCAACGTCACTCAGGATGGTATTTGTGTAATGTATCCCACCGAACACGTAGCACTAGTGTCGATGTCGCAGGGTAGTCTATTTTCGGTTTTTCTCCTTAGATTTTCTATGCTGTTTGACATTGAATTGAAATAACTTCCACGCAACAAATATCGTTCAAATTTGGCCAAGAAGACCTATGCATGCCAAGCGATTGAATGATGGGCCCATCTCGATCTTGAAATTTGATGTCAGTGCTCCTGTAAAGGAGGCTTGAAGGCTTCCTTTATTCTAGGGGAGGCGCATGGGCGGATTCCATATGAGAGTTGAGTACATGTGCGTATGTTACTGACCACAAAGTGAGGGCTGCACCCCATTTTGAGGTTTCTGTTTCTACTAGTGTACAGGGCCACCTATTCATGGAGAAAACACTCTACCTGTGTTTATGCCAGTGAATGTATTCATCATTCCTTTCAATTTATGAAAAGTGGAGCTGCTATAAAGCCTAGAAATTGACTTACAAGTTTTCTCCAATGACAACTTCATCAACTTGCACATTAATTTCTGCCAAGCAGACATTCTATTCAAACACATAAAACACTTGAAAAACTTTAAATATATCAAGCTCTTGAGAGATACTCACAACAGTGCAGCCATTATTCATGTTGTGCAAATCTTTGTGAGAATGGGCACAGAAGTCCACGCAGGCTGTGACTCCCGAAAATGGCCTTCCTGGTTTCAGGCCCAGCCGACACGATATACCCTCGGACTCGAACTCAGTCTTAGTAGGAAAATTGAAGAAAGGGCAAACGTTACACTACCATTCGTTTGCAAAGAACAATAGCTGTGATACAACAACAAAAACGAAGTGGGAACATACCTGGTTCTTGTATGATTCTGGTGCAACTCTAGCATACAGGGGAGCCATATCAGTCGCCAATTGCTGTAGCTTCTCTTCAAGCTCCTGTTCCTACACGCCACAAGTAAGAAGGTTATTATTTAAAGTGGCTGCCCATATTCCACTGTAAATGATAAACTGACGAGTCAGTAATGTACATTGCAGGATGACGAAAGTGGCATATGTGCACACCTATTTCATGTCAAACCATTGTCTGACAGATTATACGTACATTCTATTACCCATGTATGCAGAGGCATAGCAATCCTTTTTTTTTTTAATGGGAGGAGGGGGGGGGGGGGGCGATGTGAAAAATCCTGGAGAGGGATGCTGAAAAGCTATATATCATAGGAGGTGCAAAAAATAAATGATTGCTGTGATCAAAACTTGAAATTTATCAATGCAAGGATCACTCCAGGTATATCATGTGTCGAGAATGAATGCAGTAAATATCTAAGAGTTTTTTGATGTTACCAACTAAGGAGGGTGACAATGGTGCACCCCATCCCCAGTCTCCCTGACTAATGCCACAGGGTGTAAGAATGGTATTGTGTGCTCAAGAATACTGCAAAATAATGGTGCAGTCCTGTAGTTTAAGAGTGCAGTAAAATACCCACTGAAAAGTGAAGGTACGAAGTCCAGAGGCACATCCTAACTCCCTTACACAACCTGTTAAATTAGCTCTCTAAATGTTCTGTGCCAATGAAGACTATTAGGCAATTTTCACTAATTGATACAACATAGGAAAGATAAACAGCATAACCACAGCACATACTCAGAGTTGTCATTCAAGGAGTTAATTGAAGATGTAGTTCTACAGGGCGTTTTTGAAGAAATCCATTCGAAATTTCTTTTTAATGAGGTAAATACGGCATTTGCTCCCTTTCTTCACTATTAGTGACAGGCATCTTAAGATAGCTAAAAACATTATTTACTATAGTTATTACAATTAAACTGGTAAACTTTTTTAATAAATGAAGACAGGCAGCCAGGTAAGATGAGAGAATTAGAGCCCTTCCTGCGAAGTGTTGATGGTCACTTTGAGATTTCAAAAAGCAGCCTTCAGTAATTTGGGGAGCTTTTAAATTCAACCAAATTCATCGGCAGAACTAAAACATGAAAGAGCGCAAGTGCCATATTCTTCTGAGATGTCCAGAATCAGTGCAACGCCGTTATATCAGCCATCGACTGACTACGTGTGACTATAGCACGCATGACACAGAAAAACACCTGTGCAATCATTGCTATAAACAGTGACGCCATTCTGGTCATCTGCTACAGTGCAGTCTACCTTTAATAATATCCAAGTACCAATGAAATCTCATTGTTATAACCAATGATTGTTATAAGTGGGTTGAGAAAATAAAAACAAAATAAAGGTCGAAACATTTGAATTGCATGCAAGTAAGGTAGTGCAATTATGTACTTGTGATCAAGAACATCAAAATTCTCCATGTATCTGAGAAGGAGGTCCTTCTCGAAAAAAAAAAAAAAGTCCCAAACCGACTGTATCATCCATTGGGCCTACTGCGATCGACAGTGCCTGGGTAGGCTGCTCAACCACATTGTTGGAGTTGTCGCTCTCACCACTGCCCTCAACACATATAGTATGCTCAATGGTCACCTCATCGCTGATGCACTCGTACGTATCTTCAACACCATCTGCATGAAGTAAGTGGTCCAGACACTGTGCATCTTCATTAAGCCCCGAACACAATTCAACTCAACTCCGGCAGCTCTTCATCAACGAGCGCTTCGCAGGCCTCTCCTGGCATCGCTTTTAAAGTTCAAAAGAAAAGTTCCTCCTCCTGTCACTTCCCCGACTCGATTTCTTAGGGTTCAGACTAGGTGCAGGGTGCATAGCAGCGCATCTTATGGGCATGGACAGACATTTTCAGTGTGCGCTGCTGCCAGATTCGATCAACACATACGATATCGCGGCGCTGGAGCATCAATAAGCGGTTTATTTTACTATAGTAAGCATACAAAACTGGATAGTTTCATCGCTGTTCATTTTTATATGATATATTATTATAAATGGTATCATTATAAGTGGACTCCACTGTAATTACGATTATATCAGCACTTCAGTTTCAGATAAAAATTCTTTCTAATCTTTGCTGAAAACCACAGACATCAACACTGTCAGTAAAGTACCCTACTGCATCATTCTCATCAATCAAAGAAGAGGCTCAGCAGAGAGAAGGATGTGACAGACGACAGAGGCAGGAGCCATTGAGAAGAAAAATTCAGCAATTGGGAAATGACACCAAACAAATGTGACACGTGGATAATTGGTGGCAATCATGTGTGCTAAGCATAAAATGGCTTAGTGGCAAGAAAACGACTGAGGTTTCAAATGCAGGGCACCATACCCTTTCTTTCAAGAAAGCTTCCCTGTGAGCAAGAGTGAATCGCACGCACAAATGGCCTATGCAACACACACTGCTTGGAATGTCACTGAATGCACCACACGACTTAAGTTCTTCATCCAATGTACAATGGCACCACTGGAAATTCACCACAAAGCAAAATATAAAGAGAAGAGAGGTCTTATCAAGTGAATGTCACTAGCTTTCTCAGTTCTTGCACATGAGAGAACAAAGAGAAAGTACCCCACTAGCACACAACAGCAGAAGCAAAGGGGGCGAGAGTGTTTTTTTTACCATGCCTCTTGGTGCCATGGTAATGGCACAGTTCAAATACTTCCAAAGTGTCCAATAATGAACTAGTTTTGAAATGCTCTCACTAAAATGCTTCCTAGGCAGCAGCCTTTAGGGGAACCCTGCAAGAATCTGTGACTGCAAGAATCTGTGAACGTATTCAAGAAATGGTGTTGATCTGTAGTCAAGTCTCTAGTGATCGTGCAAGTCAAATATGATTGCACTGTGTGCAACATAGAATGGTACATGCAGGGTATGCACACTTGTGTAATTAACAAACAAAATGGTGCTATGCCCCATGACAGCTGGTAGCTCTTACCATCTTGGTACGCTTTTCTGTATGCCACCAGAGTGCTGCAGCAAAAGTGACTTATAACACCTTTAAGTCGCGAAAAACCTCCGTTTTACTTTTTCCCAAGTGAAAATTACATCTTGGAACACTCGCAGAAATATGATTCCTTGCATTACAATACTGACTGAAAAACCATTGAGAAATGCCTGTCCCACAGACTATTTGAGGCCACGAGCCAAAGTGGGACCCACATTGTTCCACTGCCCACCTAGGGCATCAGCATAAACCTCAGCACAGCTTCACAAGTATAGACTCTGAGATGAATACAGCCGCTTGTGAAGGGGCTCAACGCATGCAATACAAGGAGGCATTTAACAGGCTCAACAAATAAGCTTTGTGCAATTTTTTTTTCTACGACAGCATCCTGGATCGTCTGCATGTTTACTGTTTTGATAGCAGAAGGCATAAAAAAGCACGTCCCTATTCATTCCTTGCATATGTACGCCTGTCTAGCTACTGCACTAACTTGGCATTATGTGAGAAACACATGAGGGCGTCCGGAAGAATAACATTAACATTATCAGTATTCATGTGTTTCACAACCAATCCTCACCTGCATGAGCCAGGAGAGTAGTCACAAGGTTTTCGATAGAACAAATATAAAGATAAATGATGGTGTTCTGTTTCTTTATACAATTTACTCCTCAAAGAGCCACCAGGGTGCAGGAATGCAGCTGATTGCACGATGACGTATCACCGTGTTGAATTTATATTATGAAAAACAGCCTTTAATCTAATCAGTCAGCAAAAACTAGAATGCGTCAGCTTCCTCAAACACAGAGTCAGCCAGCACAAGAAAAAATTCACTAACACATTATGAGAAACAGAAGAGGCAATGAACGAGTTTCCTATGTACATATATGAGCAGCGTGGCAAATACAACTACTGGTTTTGGAAGATTTGTATCTCAGCTTCATCATCATCATCATCAGCCTGACTACGTCCACTGCAGGACAAAGGCCCCTCCCATGTTCCGCCAGTTAACCCGGTCCTGTGCTTGCTGCTGCCAATTTATACCCGCAAACTTCTTAATCTCATCTGCCCACCTAACCTTCTGTCTCCCCCTAACCCGCTTCCCTTCTCTGGGAATCCAGTTATTTACCCTTAACGACCAGCGGTTATCCTGTCTACGCGCTACATGCCCAGCCCATGTCCATTTCTTCTTCTTGATTTCAGCTATGATATCTTTAACCCCCGTTTGTTCCCTAATCCACTCTGCTCTTTTCTTGTCTCTTAAGGTTACACCTACCATTTTTCTTTCCATTGCTCGCTGCGTCGTCCTCAATTTAGCTGAACCCTCTTTGTAAGTCTCCAGGTTTCTGCTCCGTAGCTAAGTACCGGCAAGATACAGCTGTTATATACCTTTCTCTTGAGGGATAGTGGCAATCTACCTATCATAATTTGAGAGTGCTTGCCAAATGTGCTCCACCCCATTCTTATTCTTCTAGTTACTTCAATCTCGTGGTTCGGCTCCGCGGTTATTACCTGCCCTAAGTAGACATAGTCTTTTACAACTTGAAGTGCACTATTACCTATCTCGAAGCGCTGCTCTTTTCCGAAGTTGTTGTACATTACTTTCGTTTTCTGCAGATTCATTTTAAGACCTACAGTTACGTTCCGTTTGGTTCTTTCCACTCGCCTCTCGCTTGTTGCGCGACATTTGCTGCTGCTGCCAAGGAAGCTGAAGACGAGAACTTTTCATCTGCTGGCACCTTGAGGAAACGACCGCTCCGACATCATCTGGATATAGAGACGTTTATTCGTTTCTTTCTTTTTTTCACTGTCCCTGCACCCCTGGTTTTATCCCCTGCCTCCCCATTCAACCACACTTACAGTCCAATCGTAACGCACCACTCTTACAGTCCAATCGGAACGCACAGATGTGTCTCTCCTCGCCACAACCTCGAAGACCCACCGCCTCTTGCCCACTCATCGGTTCTCCGCCGTCGCTCAGGTTTCTTTCACACCGGTTCCCGGAATGATCGACGACGGGCGTTGCCAGGTCGTGGAAAAGGGCGTCCGAGTAAGTTCCTGCGATGCCGGGCTGACAGGTCATGAATACAATTGGCCCGTGCGCCAATGCCGTCGCCTCCGCTGATTCTGATTGTCCGGCGGACGCGCACGTATACCTTCCACGTGTACCGGCCACCTGCAGCCTGGCTTGGTCTCCTGTAAGGCGCCATAATTGAACCCCTTGGGGCACGGGAGTTGTCACGTCCTTTGTGGCCAGCAGACAGTCATCGTCCCGCATTCCGGTGGCCCTGCTTCCTTGTTGGCGAAGGGTCGCCGGCCACGGGGTGGGTAACATAAGGTATTCGGGGAACGCACGAAGTTCGAGCCCAACACCTACCTTTCTGCTCTCCTTGTCTAACTCTGTAATGATGAGTTGCAATTCGTACCCTGAGTTACTCAGCAATGCAATGTCATCGGCGAAGCGCAGGTTACTAAGGTACTCTCCATTAACTCTTATCCCTAACTGTTCCCATTCTAGGCTTCTGAAAACCTCCTCTAAGCACGCGGTAAATAGCATTGGGGAGATTGTGTCCCCCTGCCTTACACCCTTCTTGATTGGTATTCTGTTGCTTTCTTTATGAAGCACTAAAGTAGCAGTTCATCCCCTGTAGATTTCTTCCAGAATGTTTATATATACTTCATCGACGCCCTGATTCCGCAGTTCCTGCATGACGGATGATATTTCTACTGAATCAAACGCCTTCTCGTTTTCTACGAAGGCTATGTATAGTGGTTGGTTATATTCTGAGCATTTGTCTATTACCTGATTAATAGTATGAATGTGGTCGATTGTTGAGTAGCCTGTTCGAAATCCTGCTTGTTCCTTTGGTTGATTGAATTCTAATGTTTTCTTTACTCTGTTAGCAATTACTTTTGTAAATAGCTTGTATACTACAGAGAGCAAGCTAATCGGCCTGTAATTCTTCAAGTCCTTGTCATCTCCTTTCTTATGTATTAAGATGATGTTAGCGTTCTTCCAAGACTCTTGTACTCTTCCCGTCAGGAGACACCTCGTAAACAGGGTGGCTAGTTTTTCTAATACAATCTGTCCTCCATCTTTCAGCAGATCTGATGTTACCTGATTCTCACCAGCAGCTTTTCCTCTTGTACCATAAATTACCATAAATTAATTTAGGGTGCAGTGACGGATGGCGACACAGTAGTTCAGTGCGCTCTGGCTGCACAGGTTGTCATCGCAAAAAAGAAGCCACGCTTGTGGGATCATACGACACACTATCTTACTGTAGTACACCATAGCTGCTGTACAGGGTGTCCCACATAACTTGAGCCAAGAATTTGAAAGTGAAAGGCACTTAGGAGGCGTATTAAACAAACGCATACTACTCGCACTAGCCTGTAGGTGCTCAGGCTATTTTTTATTTTCACCCATACTACCGTAACTACTCAAATCTAACGCGCACCTTTTTTCCGGTTAAGCTAGTTCATAAATCGCATGCGCGTTAGAATCGAGTACGAAAAAAAAATGAATACAGTCATTCTATTGCCATCGGCATTTCCAAAATTGCCGCCCCCTACGTGCCGCCCGTGCGTCGGCATGGTGCGTCGGCCATTTCTGCCAGTGTGTTTCCCATGTGCGGCACATCGTACGTGTGCTGAGGAGTTCATCATCTTGTAGTGCATTAGCATCGACGGCATGGAAGGGCCGACTCCAAAAACTCGAGTGCACCACGATGCCGCTCTTAAAAAAAAAGTCACCGCGTGTGCAGAAACGGACGGAAATCGGGGCACATCGCGGTCGTTCGGAGTTCCCGAAACATGCGTGCGGGACTGGCGGAAACAAAAGCAGAAGATTGTCGACAGCAAAGATTCACGCAAAGGCTTCATTGGACCACAGCAGGGTCGGTTTCCGCAAACTGAAGAGCTGCTCGGCGAATATGTGATTGAGCAGTGAGCGGCACAGCGGCCTGTGACGACAGAACTGCTCCAAGTGCAGGCTATGCAGTTAGCCTTAGAAAAAGGGCTAATGCGGAGCCAGTTTAAAGCGAGCAGGTGTAGGCTACACCTGCTCGCCAGGAAACAAAAGCAGAAGATTGTCCACAGCAAAGCTTCACGCAAAGGCTTCAGTGGACCACAGCAGGGTCGGTTTCCGCAAATTGAAGAGCTGCTCGGCGAGTATGCGCTTGAGCAGCGAGCGAGCGGCACAGCGGCCCGTGACGACAGAAATGCTCCAAGGGTGGGTTATGCAGTTAGCCTTAGAAAAAGGGCTAATGCGGAGCCAGTTCAAAGCGAGCAGGTGCTGGCTAACTAACTTTATGAAGAGGAAAGGCTTTTCCCTCCGAAGGCGAACGGCATATGCGAAATGTTTCCGGAGGAGTCCGATGAAAAGCCTCACAGTTTTCAAAGGTTTGTCCTAAACTTGCGGCACAACAACGACTACCTGCTTGGGCAAATCGGGAATGCCGATCAGACGCCTCTTCGACATGCCTGGCACCACAACCGTCGAGAAAAAGGGGGCGAAGCAACTTCGCGTGCTGACATCAGTCCACAGTAAAACTACAGTGACGGCAATGTTCTGTTACACGTCAGATGGGCACAAGCTTCCCGCGTACCTCATATTTAAATGGATGACGCTCCCGAAAGGAGCTGTTTTTTTGAGTGGTGTGATCGTGCGGGCCAATGAGAAAAATGGGTGCACGTCGCAATCGATGTCTTACTTTCTTTTTTTTTTCGTCGTGGAAACCAGGTGCGCGTTACAATCGAGGGTGCGGTAGAATCGAGTAAATATGATAATTAATTAATATTTTTAATTATCAACCTTTTTATTGTGGGCTGGAAACCCCAAATATAAACACTGAGATGTAGAGTACTTTCAGAAACCCCCAACTAAATTGTTTCCTGCACGACACGTCTCGCGCTGTTATTTTTTCTACGTTGTAAAGAAAGCCCGTGAAATGTGAAAAGAAGCCATGTGACAAACCGTGAGTGCACTGCTATAGGCCTTCTTTACAACGGGGAAAAAATAACAGCGCTAGATGTATCGTACAGAAAACAATTTATCCGTGGTTTCTGAAAGTGCTCTACACCTCAGTGTTCATATTTTGGGTTTCCAGCCCATAATTTTAAAAATAGGTAATTAAGGGTTATTAATTAATTAGTATGGGGAGAAAAAAAATAACCTAAGTACCTACAGGCTACTGCAAGTAGTACGTGTTTGGTTCAATTCGCCACTGAAGTGTCTTTCATTTTCAAATTCTTGACTCAAGTTATGTGGGACAAGCTGTATAGGCTCCCCTTTGGGAGCCAGATTTACACATTACTTTTTTGTTCACCACTAGCACCGGCGATCGAAAAAGCAGCCATGCAGTGCAGAGAAGTTGCTACTAAGACACGGATAAATACAGTTGACAATGGCAGTGCCACCATGTCAGCAGAGAGTTTAGAGCTTTATTTGACAACCAACATTCAGGCCACTGCTTCAAAAATTTGTATGACTTGCTGTTCTCTTTTTACAGCAAAGATCATGTGATAATTTTTTTCCCCAGAATATATTTTGAATCTGTTTATGGCTGCCCAGAGGCTGTGACAGATGGCATCAGGCCATGTGCAATGATAGGTTTGGTGACAAGCAATATGTTGGCACACACACAGAGATATTTCTCTTCATTAAAAAGAAAATAAACAGCCATTGTTACTCAAATTTAATAGTTCAAAAAGAAGTGGCCCTTGTTTGTTCCTGATAAAGTGGGCAGAATTTAGAGGTAGCACAATGTGACAATCATTGCGCATTGTAGAAAGATGTTGCTACAGTGAATGTGACGTGTGGCTTTCCGTCAAAACCTTTTTTGCTATTGTGCACAAGATGGCAGACGTATGCAAGATTGTGGCTCCTAAAAGGCCCACAGAGTACATTTATGAACGAAGCACATGCCACGTCCCATTGGGAATTTGAACCACTTTTGCGTGACAAGTGTGTTACATACTTTAGCAGCCACGTTTGCCACCAAGCAATCTACATTTTACACTCGTTTGTTTCAAAATGTTGACACATCCTCATGACCATTGATATATTCATGATGATGGTATATTCAGTGCCACCATCATGATCATCAGTGTATTTATGTCCACAGTAGATGACCTCTGGAAATCATCTTTATCTCTGCTGAGACGGCAATCGGGTTGCTCTAGTTCTTTGCACTGATGGCAGCAGAACTAAATGAATGCTCTAGTCCAGCCAAACTAGGAATACACATACTGATGTAAATTGGCACCTGAAGACAATTACTTGCATCTAAGCAATGCTTTCAAAAGTGAGTCCAGATAGCAAACAACCTTATATTAAAAAAAACATGACAAGTAGAAGAAGAGCCCTACATTATTTTTCAGCAAAACAAAGAGATTTTGATATTTTCAATTGAAAGCATTTACGTACTTCAGACTGTTCCGAAAGCTTGAACTTCCGAACAGATTTGCTCCTTGCATACTTGCAGCCATTATAATACATACTCCACGAGCAGCCAAATGAAAAAGATGCTCCACAGTTTTCAGAGTCTGCTCCTTGACATGCACATGTTCGTCTGCAAAAGAGAGAGAAAAAAAAAGGCAATGGGCATTTGAAGAACAAGCAATATTCAAAATGAATGGGACAAGAAATATTGCACTACAGCATGAACACTTACTGTATAATGTAAAAACATGATCATCTATTCAGGATACAAAAATTTGTCCTGAATATCTCCCATGAATAGTCATTACTACACCATTTTTTCATACTTTCCACTTCACTATATGCTTATTTGTGCGATGTATATAGCATGTAAAGCTATTCTGATTCTTATACACAAAGCCAAGCTATGCATATTAATGCAACAGCATTAAAGAGCTCATTTCACAGAAGTTCTGACATCACTGTTGGCATCGTTGGTAGTGAGCAAAAAATTCATTATCTTGTCCTTTACGAAAAAAAATAGAGAAAGAAGCAAGTAAAATAAACAATAAAAATGAAAGGCAGGGAGGGTAATAATACTTTGTCTAGTTTGCTATTCTAAGCGCGAGGAGGGAAACGAGGGAGCATAATGAAGAGAAAAGGCAGGAGTTTTTACTGTTCAAAAGCATGGCACAGCACATCAATAGTCATGCATGTAATTCTGCTGCCTTCACCTAGTACTGCAGAAGATCTCATATTACTATCTGGGCTGATGATCCAAAGTCAGGCTTTTAGGGTTTTTAATAATATTATCTGGTGTTTTACATGCAAAACCACAATATGATTATGAGAAAGGCCATAGTGAAGTGCTCTGGACATTTTGATCATTCGGTGTTATTTAACATGCACCGACATTGCACAGTACCTAGACCTCTAGCATTTTGCTTCCATGAAAATGTGACTGCTGAAGCTGGAATCAAACCCACGACTTTTGGGTCAGCAGTCGAGCATCGTAACTATATACCAATGAAGCAGATTTCGAAGATTTTTTTTTTTCCTTCTACAAAAGGACTGTGGTCCGGTCTTATCAGAGCACACTAGAGAGTCTGACATTGTTTATTGAAGCAGGAACAGCGGCATAGGAGATGGTCAATGATATTCTCGCATTTGCACATAACGAACTAGGTGAACCAACAATCCTAATTTCATATCTGCAAGGATGCTGCCTACCTTGGCTCTGCAAATATTATTCCCTCAAAAGGGGCTGAATTGTGCTACCTTGAAATGCCAATGTCTAAAAATTTCTATTGTTTAGAAAGCAAGTGATCTTCATCTCAGAGGGTTTCCAGCATGAGCTGCACAGCCATTTTTATCACCTTAAAGCAGGCACATACACTAAAATGCACTCAGATTTTCTCATGCCATAGAGTTACTTCAAGATATTTTTCCCGAACGGCAAAAGGATTGATTCATTCGTGTTTTTCACAATATTCATTTTATAACTTTTTTTCAATACTGTCCTTTTTTTCATCCTTGCTTTTCTAGAAAAGCTTGTATTTCACCCTTTGCCAGTCATTTCATCTTTTTATGGCACGATAATAAGTGTTTTCTTACGCCAATTTTTTAAGCAACCATGTAAGCCATGCAAGTTTGAATGTAAAGCTTACTGCTCGTTGGTGCCACAGCGACGCTGGGTGGGGAAGCCAAAGTTGACTGTTTTATTGACAACTGTGCGATAGAGGTCGTCGGCCATGTCCGCATGGACACCCTCCCATGCAACAATGGCCATGACAATATAGGCTGACAGGCAGCGATGACCTTGCCGATGCCGCAGCACAGCCAGCACCTTTTCGTTGGGACCACTGCGCCGAATCACCCACTTGGCCACTGGGCAGCCCTGGCTTGTCTTGCCCTCCTTTCCAGTGTACAGCACCTTCTCAATTCGTAGTGCACTGCCTGTCTCATTCAGCCTAGAGAGGTAACGCGCCAGAGAGAAAAAAGTTGCAATTTAGCCGTGACAGAACAACTAGACCGCTTTAGATTTTGCATGCCGAAATACAACCTATGCACTCCTGTTAATAAACTTCTTGAGCCAAGACTACAATAATGATGATGTTGTGGCCAAACTGTATTCATTACTGGCACATACTTTTAATACCTCAGGAAAAACCACAGAACCATTATTAGGTGAACACACTTTTAGCAATGGTAACAGACAGTTAAAAATTATTTTAACAAAGTACTTTTGACTCCCGGACATGTATTCATAAGCCTAATAAGTTTAAAGTTTAAAGACTGAAAGTAACACAGCTAAAACATTTGCCTGATTTAACTCGGTATTTCGGGCAAATATGAGTAATGTGTCACAGGAAGACCATCGCATAGAAAATGGCTCATGATTTATTAATGTACTGCTTAAATAAATACAATAACATACTAGCTTAGGATCGGTGGTTTCTCTTTTTTTCAAATATCCTGTTGGAAGTGCAAACTTAAAGTGGCAGATAAAATGGTAACTGCAGCACGAACGATGGTATGCCTGAAAGCAATTATGCAAGTGGCAATAATGACATCAACGTCCTGTAAATTGACAGCATGTATGAGAAATGAGAAGTGCACAGTAATTACAATTTTAACTATTCAACACCAGCAAGGGTGCTGTTGACCAGTTAAAGTGGGCCAGTTCCTGTGACAGAACATAATATGCACATATACAGATAGCATATGATGCATGGCTTGATGCTAGCAATGTGCATACAAGCAAATGTCCTTTTTTATTATCTTATAAATATTATGTTATTTGCGAAAATGCTTTACTTGATTCAAACCTCTGGAAGCTTCTTATTAAATGGGGTCCTGCAACACTTTCAGCACAGAAAATACTGCCAATTTCAGGTCAAATCTTCTGTGAACATACAAGTCAAACATTAATTTGTTACATGCCACAAAAAATTTACAATTATCAAAAAAATTGCTGGATCGTTTTTTTCACAAAACTATGCACCAAGCAGGCCTGACTAAGAAGCAAGTGGAAGCAGCTGTGAATGATCACGGAGGCCATATGATAAGCACTGCAGACGCCAATAGTGTGCCATGCATGTTCAAGCCAGAAGCAGGGGCCAATAAGTCACATAAAAAAGAAAAAAAAAGTCAAGGTCATGACATACAGTGACCAAACTTTTCAGGCATTCGCTGCCACTAGTCAAACCCTATGTAGCTTCCAGTGCACTCATGGCACCAAAAAGGAAGTGATCATAACATACTGCAATTCCGCTGATGTTTGACAAATTTCAAGAAGTTTTGCAATAGGAGATTCGTGAGGCAACTAAGTTAAAAAATAGTAAGGTCACTTTGCAATAGCTTAGAAAGGTGTTGCACGGCGCCATTAAGTTCTCGTGAGACAACATAATTCTTGGGACTTCTTGATCTCATTAAAATGGCTTAAAACTGCAATACAACATTCATGTGACACTAATGAGAATGTGCAAAAATAAATAAAATTGAACGTTCTTGTTTTATGGTAAAATCAAACAATTTTCAAGAAGCTACATGGTTTTTCTCAGTTAAGTGAACCCATCAGATGCAAACTTTCTTCCTTGAAGTAGACAGATAAAGTACCTGGCCACAATAAACAGATTGCACTCAATTCAAACATTGAAGCCCATGAAAACAACAACAAGTTCTGCATTTATGACACTAAGTAAATTAATATTGATGTATATGCTTACGCCAGACATATGGTATGTGGCCTAAAGCATCTCGGGAAGCTTTTCACTCACCTGCGCTCAAGCATTTCCCTAATTGCGGCCACAGTTGGCCCAGAGCCAAGGTGAGTGTAGTAGGGAGACTTGTCCAGAGGTGCTGGGCACAGACAATTTTGAGTTCAATAAACATTTTGAACCTTACCAGCACCTATGAGACAAAAGACACATAGCTTACTCTAATGTAATGCTCCTCAACTTACTGTTTTTTTTTAGCAGCAACAATTTATCACTCACGACAGTTGTCAAGAATATACGATTCAATGGGATTTCCCCAGAGCTGGAGCTGTAAAAAAAGCTTTGCAGAGGCCACTAGCCTCCTCGGCACCATGAACATGTTCAAGGAATGTCATAAAAATTATAAATCACACAAGAAGCCTGGCTTTCACAGATCCACGTACATGTACAACATTCAGCAATTGAAAAATGACATGGTGCATGGTTGCTGGTACTTTTTTGTTCCATCAGTGAGCATTGGGTGATCGCTGCAGGGTCAGATGCAATCACAACGCAACACAAATGTTCCTGTTTTCATTGTAAGCAACAATGCATCAACTTGGTGTCCCCAATGCCCACCTGTGGTCCAATAAGCAACAGTAGCCATGCACAGAGCATTGCATTTCAGTGGGTGAGCACAACATCAAGTCTGAAATAAAATCAATTTCAGCTAACATTCTTAGCAAATAGCAAAACTACACACAACCACAGACAACAAAACCAAATTTCCCCATGACCAACTTTTGTAAGTGTGCTCTCTCATCACTAGCTTTCAGGAAGATTTTAGTGGACATTCTATCCCCCTCTAGGCCAAAAGAGGGGTAGAATGTCACAGTGAGATGGTGTTACATTCCTTGTCCCATAGAAGCAAAATCATCAGTGAATCTGAGTTGTCCTTCCTAACCTCCTAAAAGCAAGCTTTGTTTTTCCCTCAGTAAAGTAACTTCAGTGGTTACGCTCTGCCTCCAAAAGTCCCTGATTTATACCATAGCACAATTACAAGCCTTCACCGCTTGATGAAACTGCAAATGAATGCAAAGAAAATTGTCATGATAATTCTCATTAATAAAAACAGCTCAAATGTTGCAGGCTGGGACTTTGGCATCCCAATTTCCGCCGACAAATAGTCCCCACCTGAACAAGAAAAAAGAAACAGCGATAAAAAAAACTGCATCTTCTTGCACTCTTTTTTTTTTTGGAGGGAGAGGGAGAGGGTTTGTTTCTTAAGATGAATATATACCAACTTGCCCAAGTCTGATGCAGGACAAATGGTATTGCAGGCCAATGGCACCAGTATGTCAGGAGTTGTGTGACATACGGCACTTGCATGGCACGAATTCCTGGGCAGCTTACACATAGGGAACACTCTTCCTGTTCCGTTTCCAGCTCACAACTTGGGCAGAAGGAATATTTTTGTCTGTTTTAAAGCTTTTTATGGTCATCATTTGAACTTTGCCGCATTACAGTCAGAAACTATACCAGTACACTTCACATAGGACTATTCTAAGTGAATTAGATGAAGAATTGCACCTATTCTGTAGCTTCATTAAAATATTGTCTTGCCCATAATGTGTGCCTGTTTGCATCAGTAAAACTAATGCAGTTTGAAGGCCTTTTTGCATTCAAATAAACATCTCCTATAATAATAATTTCACTATTAACAGACAAGTATACAACTACATCGATGCCACATCAAGCCAATTTATGAATATTTTACACTAATGTTATATTATTTCAATTATATCCCGAAATCGCTACCACGCTGCCATCTGGGACTGCTTGCAAATGACTAAATAACACTGCTTTGTTCTGTTCTCTCCCTAAAAATAATTGTGAAGATGGCCTTTCAGAAGCCATAACCCTGAGGCTTTTAGCATTGTGAATGCCATTCTGTAGCGAGTTACAATTTCAGCTTGGCTGCTTCCCCTGATCGTTTGGTAGAGGCTTTTGTCTCCTAAGACTGCACATATTGATTTTCATCGTGACATACATTTTTTTACAATCACATTCATTTGTCCAACTGTTTGCACGAGACAATAGTTCTCTGATAACACTAACAAGTGATTTTTGAAAGAAAAAGAAAGTGGGATAGGGAAAGTAAGAATAAAACATGGAAATAGATTTTAATAAAGAAAGTTTTACTTTCACCAGGAACGTGAAGTACTGATGGCAATCGCGGAGCATCGAACAGCTATAAAAACGTTACTGGTTCTTTTTTGGTCCTCTATATTGAAGTAAACATTCATGACTTAATTAAGTCAGGTGTCTGCACATACAGGCAAACACAATAACATTCCACTTGTTTGAGAACACATTCCCAAACACAGGCTTTCACAACATTAGTGTGATTAATGAACAAATAGAAGTGAGCGAATGCATCTAATTGCTTCTCGCTTCTCTGAGGCAACATGAGCTGCAACACTAGGCATGTAGAGTTCCGTATTTTCCTGCAGATATAGTCAGATAAAGCTGCTACACCCATCAGTTATAACAATTCTTGGAAAAACCGCAAATTACTGACATAAAGACAAAGAAAGTTGTACGCATCATTTCTTACACCCATACAACCAGGGCGTAGCCAGAAATTTTTTTCAGGGGCGGGGGGGGGGGGCGCCTCTTTGATCTCAAGTGGGACTTGGGCTGGCAGATATGGTTGCGTGTCATTTCAGGCTCCGTATGCCATGGCGAAAAAAAAATTTCTGGAGGGGGCAGCTGGGCCCAGTGTGTCACACCCTGGCTACGCCACTGCCGTAGAGTGCAGAGAGCACCACCTTTTATGACTTTCGCTTCTCTATAACACGGCAGACCAAAGGACAGATGCGAACTAGTGGGCTCACCCACACCTACCCCCATCCCCTCCCATGCGAGGGCATATTCAGTGTCTCTACCCATTATCACATGTACGTGAACAGCATGCTTTGAGCTTTCTCTCAATCTTAGAGCATACTGCAGGAGGGGCACAATAAGATCTTATTGCGCTTAGACATTACATCGACTACTATGATAATGACTATGGTACAAACAAGTTTTCACTTAGAAGAGTTTCCCTACAACTGCTGTCCCAACAAAAGAAAGTGAGGTTACCATGCCACCCAAACTGCAGCTTTCACAGCAGCACTACTGGTGCAGCAAACGCCTCAGGAGACATTCGATGTTTGTAATGATGATGGCGAAAAATTGCCATTTTCCAAAGCCACAGCATTGTAAAAAAAGTACTTAAAAGTTCTCGGATATCTAAGATATAATGTGGATAGGTATATCATTATTGTTGTACTTTCATAACCATTATTAGAGTAGGCACTATTTTTAGTTCAGTATTTCGCAGCAACAAATGCTGTAGCTTGGCACCGCCAATATTATGACATAAAAAAGAAGCACAAGACCTTCAAACTCCTGTAATTTTTGAACTTCAACCTATGCTCTGCATGAAGCTAAAAGAAGGGTATCCCAAACCTTTCTTTTTTCATGAACATGTACAGTACCATCAACTGTTGCACTGAGCACGCAAACACCTGTGCAACATCAGTGTCTTGGTTATACCACAGCGTGGGCCCCTCATGCACTATACAGAAAAATGGACAATGTTGTGCACACTACACTGAGAGGAGCGGTGGAATGGAAAAATGTATTTTATTGTACTGCAGAAACGAAAAGACCCCATACAACAATGAAAAATATTAAAAAAAATGAAGTTTAGTGCATACCATAAAATCCTAAATGATGCACCACTCTCAAATGATAACCAATCTCTGTGCTTGGCATGATTTTATACTTTCTGAAAAACACCAAAAACAGCCCACCCTTGGTAACTGGCCCCTGATAATTCACTAAGCCAAGGACACTTCAAGCTAATATCAGTGGGTACAATAATTATGTGCAAGGCCTGCTCGTTATGGACCAGGCCTTAATCCGCACAACCAATAGCACAAGCAAGGCCCTCATATCAAAGGAAGCTAATGTGTTTGTTTCAGATGGCTGTGCACAGGTAGTGTAGCCAGCTGACTTTAGCTGGATGAAGCCGTTCAAGGACAGCATTCAAGAGACCCGTACAAGCTTTGATCAAGCTCCAGCAGTGATGTCTAGAGACCGGATTTCAGGCGAATGCCTATTTTGTTCCTTGTGCTCCTTTCAGTCCACTTTGATATATGAGCATAAATTTGAGATTAGGAAAGGCTTTCACACCATTTCTATAGTACATATAAATGTCTATTATAGCATTTGTGCCTAAATACCTATAAATTTTTTAAAAATCGGCACCTTTATGAATACTATTTCGCCTCAACTTTCACTTTGGAGTGTAGTATGAGACGACTATTCATGATGCTGTGCAACACTGACTGTTTGAAACTATAAGGGATTCAGCTACAGTGAGGAAGGTTCAGACTGCACTCTATGTGGAGTCTGAACATAGTGGAGTCTGAACAAAAAAAATGTCTGCTTTGCCACCAACTTCACGTTCATCGCAAACACTGTAAAAAAACTTGAAAACTTCAATTATAAAGATCACGTTAATTCTCCATGCACAGCAAAGTATTCCCACCATTCTTGAAGGACCTGTAGTCGTAATGGTATGTGCAAAATTGCGAATGGTCTTTTAACGAAAATGAAAGATCTACACTTCAACAAATTTCAGAATTTTTTCCTGGTGAGCAGTCTAGGATCCCTGTGTCAGTTAAGACATTGAACGTTCCTAAGTACAGCTATGCTTCAACAAGATCCGTCGAAGCCGAGCATTCTTTCATTCTTAGCGACTAGAGGCACAAGTTTGAATTCAAAAAGATAGATATGGTGGTAGTTTGCTATTTCCAGAATTTTCACAGATATTTTTGTACTACGTTCAGTGTGCTCTCCAAGCATATTTCTTCAAATGTACACTTTGAAAGTATTCTCAGCTTTCCAATATTATTTTTGATGCCCGTTACGCTGAGACGCTTGAATATGCAAAAGTGGTCATTAAACATGAACGTGAGCAGTGTGTTTGTTGAATCGAGTGTATTGATCATCATTAGTTCAACAGTTTTATGGGACAATGGCACGGCTATGTTCTACTGTTGGTTCATTCATGCCATCAAAAACAATAACCTGTTTGTATTTTCCTGTGGT